TTTTCTCCTTCCCTGTAACCTTCGTTCCACAATGGTTAACAGATGGCTCGAAATAGTGCGTTAATTCGAAATTTGGCACTGTGTAGATGCACCAAATTTTGAAATTAGCTATTTTGAAATACAATTGAAATAAGATATGCAATTTGCATAGCACAGATTGCATATCTTATTTCGAGTTTAGGGTGCTGTGTAGATGCATTCTAATTTGTGTGAGAAAATATAAACTAATAATATATTTAAGTTTCCATTGAATGTACAATAAACCATTTTTCTCAGTATTTAGAGATATTTATATATGTAAATAGTCAAGTGATTTAAACAATATATGGTCCTGCATATCTGTAAATATACATTTGTTAACTGATTGATATTTTATACCTGAGAAAAATGGATTTTCCAATCAGATTCAGATTAAACACATGGAACTGTATTGTACTTAGAATATATTGATCAAACAATTTTATCATTCTCATCCCCTTTTTTTTTACTTTATTCCAGCATACTGTACCTTCATCTAGTAGCTAAACAGGAAATGTGCCAGGTATCCTAAAAATAGTTCAGGTACCAGAAAAGATGTGAACAGTGAAAGTAATTTTTTACTCTTGGGTTCAATAACCAGAATGTTTTCAGATGAGGTGCTCAATACTTGGCTAAGGAAGACTATGGAATATCTTCAGCTAATTTTAAAAGGAAAACAAGGAACAGAAAGCAATGAAGGACGCATGAGTCCTTCCATGTTCATACTCTGGATAGCAAATTACCTGCACATCTCTAAACTAAATCCTCTGTTTAGAAGTTTCATTGTGTGTGTTAGTTTGCATGTGTTCTCAAGTCATACAGAGAATTTCTTGTTAAACTAATTGTGTTTTTTTTCCATTTTTCATTTCTCATCAGTTCTTCCTGGGAAATCAGGTATAAACCAGTGGAATGTGTTTTGAAGTTTCTATATTTTTTCCTAACACATAGTTATTTAAGCTTGCATTCTTTTCCCATACTTTCATCCTGAGCTAATTCATTGTTGGGCTGCTATGGTGTTTCTATAAATGCTATAAAGTGTTCCTGGTTTCAGGATCTCTCCCTCTCTATTGTTTTGCCTTTTGTCTCATTAGGGAGATTACTTTTAAGGGAACCAGATAATGAAGACATCAATAGTTAATGTGATAAATTCCATTTTGCACTTCAATTATGCTTTATGAAGAGAATTAATTATTCTATCCCAAGTTTTATGTGAACTATAATACAGCAGTGTGCCTTAAATTTCTATATTGTGTCATATTGCTTAGTCACGTATTACTATTACAATTTTAGAATCCTTGAAAAATCACAGTGCATTAAGTTAGAAGTCAAATGACTAGATAAGAATTTATTCACAATGTATTATACATATCTTTAATACAAAACGTTGTGGTCTGAGTTAGCAAAATAATGTTGAAGTTCAAATTTAGATTGCTTCCATTCCTCCATCAATGATATTTTTAAAACAAAATGTATAGTAATTGTATTTAAAAATACTTCTGTTTGTGAAAGTGCCATACAATAGTAATTGGAAGAAATACAGATCAATGAATCCTTTATAGGATGGGATACTGAAAAACAACCTATCACATATAAAATCAGTTTGCATGCCTAGCATATACATGAAAGTGTCTATCATGAAAATTACCATTAGCATCTTATTCATGTTCTTGGAAAGGCAACATATGAAGATATGATTTTAGGTTTTCAATGCTAAAGATATTACAGAAATGGTAACTTTGCCTGGGTTTTTAAAATGTTGTTGGCAGAGTTAATATAGCATGTGCTCAGTAAAAAGTAGCCTTCACCACCTATCTTTGCCAATCTACTTCTGGCCTAACTTTTTAAACTTAAAAACTTAAAAAACAATGAATACTCTGGCAGCACCTTCAAGATTAACAAAACATGTAGATGGTATCATGAGCTTTCGTGGGCACAGCCCACTTCTTCAGTTGAATGGAGTTAATAAAGTTCCAGTTCCAAAAATTTGACCAAAGAAAGTCTGTACCCAAAATATTTTAATAAAAAAATCTGTAATGGAGCGCTTATGAAATCACCATGTAGGAAGTTGTGCTATTTGGCAGCAACCATGCTAGCTGAACAAGTTGCAATATAAACTGATTTGAAAAGGATCATCCAAGCCTCAGTCTGGCTGCAGTGCAAAGCCTAAATGTTATGTTAAATTGTTGAAAACAAAGGAATCTTCTAGGCTAATCAAAGAATTAAAGGAAACCTCCTCTTTAATAAGTGAAACAAAATAGTGTAGGCCTGAGTTACATGCTATAAGAAGGTGGTTCTTCATTTTAAAGCTACTTAATGGCTTTAAAAATCCTCACATAGAGGTCCTTTAAACATGTACATTTTACTTATTTAAATACAATTTTCTTTAATTAATAAATTAAGCTTTTAAGCTTTCCTATTGTTTGGTTCCCAGAAGTAATATTCCTTCTGCCCTTTCTCTTGTCCATTTTGCTTAAGCAATACCACAGTTCTTTTAACAAGTAAGGACACATTTGTGTGATTTGGTTTTAATATGTTTCCATCGCTTCACTGGAACAAATAGGTACAGTTACTCCAGCAGTCAGATTCTTCTCAAGATATGTACATTTGACTATGATTGATTTCAGTGCATGCAAAGCAGAGGTTGGAATTTGGCCTGCGGATTGGATAACAAATTAAACACGTGTCATCAGCTAGAAAGCGCTGGATCCCTGTTTCAATTTTCATGAGATTGTGGGATCCTTTAGTAAATTATGATTGAGTTAATTTAGATCTTGTGGAAGGTTTTCGAATGATAACACTGGAAAGCAAAGTCTCTTCTGTTTTCCACATAACAAGTATAACATATTGTCACAGCTGTGCAGGCCTCTCCACAATAATCTCTTAACTAAACCAAAATGCTTTAAACCTATATTGAGATTAAAGCTCAGTTCCCATGCTAACAGAATGTGTGGCCTGTGCTGCAGAGACTGCCAGCAGATGTGCCAGTTGTGAAGGTGATGTTATTTTATGTGGACATTGGTAGGAAATGGATCAAAGCAGCCTGCTGTTTTCACACAGACCACCAAATAATGAGAAGAATATATCTTTTGGCCACCACTGACTCGATTCAAATTTGGTCCAGTGATGTGCAGAAGATTCTGCAAGGGTTTTACGGCATTACATACAAACAACACTGACCATTTTTCAAGACTCTATGGCCAGTCTTGGGTAGCACAAAATAAACAGTCAGCTCATCATAGGAACAGGGTTCAAAAAAGGTCCTCCATCAATGATATTTTTAAAACAAAATGTATAGTAATTGTATTTAAAAATACTTCTGTTTGTGAAAGTGCCATACAATAGTAATTGGAAGAAATACAGATCAATGAATCCTTTATAGGATGGGATACTGAAAAACAACCTATCACATATAAAATCAGTTTGCATGCCTAGCATATACATGAAAGTGTCTATCATGAAAATTACCATTAGCATCTTATTCATGTTCTTGGAAAGGCAACATATGAAGATATGATTTTAGGTTTTCAATGCTAAAGATATTACAGAAATGGTAACTTTGCCTGGGTTTTTAAAATGTTGTTGGCAGAGTTAATATAGCATGTGCTCAGTAAAAAGTAGCCTTCACCACCTATCTTTGCCAATCTACTTCTGGCCTAACTTTTTAAACTTAAAAACTTAAAAAACAATGAATACTCTGGCAGCACCTTCAAGATTAACAAAACATGTAGATGGTATCATGAGCTTTCGTGGGCACAGCCCACTTCTTCAGTTGAATGGAGTTAATAAAGTTCCAGTTCCAAAAATTTGACCAAAGAAAGTCTGTACCCAAAATATTTTAATAAAAAAATCTGTAATGGAGCGCTTATGAAATCACCATGTAGGAAGTTGTGCTATTTGGCAGCAACCATGCTAGCTGAACAAGTTGCAATATAAACTGATTTGAAAAGGATCATCCAAGCCTCAGTCTGGCTGCAGTGCAAAGCCTAAATGTTATGTTAAATTGTTGAAAACAAAGGAATCTTCTAGGCTAATCAAAGAATTAAAGGAAACCTCCTCTTTAATAAGTGAAACAAAATAGTGTAGGCCTGAGTTACATGCTATAAGAAGGTGGTTCTTCATTTTAAAGCTACTTAATGGCTTTAAAAATCCTCACATAGAGGTCCTTTAAACATGTACATTTTACTTATTTAAATACAATTTTCTTTAATTAATAAATTAAGCTTTTAAGCTTTCCTATTGTTTGGTTCCCAGAAGTAATATTCCTTCTGCCCTTTCTCTTGTCCATTTTGCTTAAGCAATACCACAGTTCTTTTAACAAGTAAGGACACATTTGTGTGATTTGGTTTTAATATGTTTCCATCGCTTCACTGGAACAAATAGGTACAGTTACTCCAGCAGTCAGATTCTTCTCAAGATATGTACATTTGACTATGATTGATTTCAGTGCATGCAAAGCAGAGGTTGGAATTTGGCCTGCGGATTGGATAACAAATTAAACACGTGTCATCAGCTAGAAAGCGCTGGATCCCTGTTTCAATTTTCATGAGATTGTGGGATCCTTTAGTAAATTATGATTGAGTTAATTTAGATCTTGTGGAAGGTTTTCGAATGATAACACTGGAAAGCAAAGTCTCTTCTGTTTTCCACATAACAAGTATAACATATTGTCACAGCTGTGCAGGCCTCTCCACAATAATCTCTTAACTAAACCAAAATGCTTTAAACCTATATTGAGATTAAAGCTCAGTTCCCATGCTAACAGAATGTGTGGCCTGTGCTGCAGAGACTGCCAGCAGATGTGCCAGTTGTGAAGGTGATGTTATTTTATGTGGACATTGGTAGGAAATGGATCAAAGCAGCCTGCTGTTTTCACACAGACCACCAAATAATGAGAAGAATATATCTTTTGGCCACCACTGACTCGATTCAAATTTGGTCCAGTGATGTGCAGAAGATTCTGCAAGGGTTTTACGGCATTACATACAAACAACACTGACCATTTTTCAAGACTCTATGGCCAGTCTTGGGTAGCACAAAATAAACAGTCAGCTCATCATAGGAACAGGGTTCAAAAAAGGGCTAGAAAAATTAATGGAGGATAGATCCATCAATGGTGATAAGCAGGGCTCGCCGAGCGGCAGTGAGCCCTGCTCGCCAGCCGCGCAGTTCTGCGCTCTGCACATGCGCAGATCACTCTGCACCAGCTCTTCCGGGTTGTAATCTACTGGCGAGTAGATTACATTAAGTAGATTACATTGTTTGTCAAGCCCTTGTGATAAGCCAGGATGGGCAGGGATGGTGTCCTTCACCTCAGTTTGTCAGAAGCTGGGAATGAGTGATGGGAGAAATCACTCATTATTATCTGTTCTGTTCACTCCCTCTGGGGCATGCTGTCAGAAGACGGAATACTGGTCTAGCTGGGCCTTTGGTCTGATTCAGTATGGCTGTTCTTATGTAAACCATCTGTGTACTCCTGTGAATTATGAGGGTGCTCTGATTGTTCTAATTTGTGCTAGCTGCCAATTGCTTCAGAGAGGTAACATAGCCACCCCAGAGCACAGGCCCTTTCTACCAGCAACATCACCCTTACACAGCTATGGGGACCAAGGGTAGCTTAGAGCTATTAAAATGGCTTTGTAAGATGTTCCTGTACTCAGCTTAACAGTGGAGCAATGCAATGCTCCCCTGAGAGAGCTGAAATTCCAGCCCACTGATCTATCATTTGACTGTTTTTCCATACTTTTCACGTGAAAGTTTCATATCTTTGAAAACTCTATCCCTGCTATTGCAAAGAGAGTTCAGTGAAAGTTTTAACGCTGATTAATTCACACCAATGCATAACAGAACCAAACATTGTATTACTAGTTTTGCTGCTTTCACAAGGTCCTTAGACAAAATTCTGAGAATGAATCATAAAGTTCAGCCTGGCAGCCTTTTTTCACAATCCTACCATATTTCTTTAGATTAATGCAGTGGTTTTCAAATTGAAATCTTAACACCATTGACAATTTTCATAAAAATCATATTTTAAGAGTTTACTAATGATTAGAAATTAAAGCAGAAATTTAGAATGGATGATTTTAACCCATCATTGCTGAAATGTATATTTTATATTGTGGTGAACTATTGCAAACCTTGTCATTTTGTTTAATCTTGTTACAGTTTGGTGACTCTCAACAGCTGCGTCTTGTTCGCATCTTGCGAAGTACAGTAATGGTTCGCGTTGGAGGTGGCTGGATGGCACTGGATGAATTCTTAGTGAAAAATGATCCTTGCAGGGGTATGTAAGAAGGTTGTTTTAGAACAGACATTAAAATCATTAACAGGATGCTGTCACTGGCAAGAACTGGGAGGGATATTTTTTGCAGGATAGAATTGAAATGTAAAAAATGCCTTCTGTTTATTTAAACAGTGACTGCATGTTTCCTAGTTCTAGTTTTATGTATTTTAAAATCCGAAGGGCCAAATGCAGCTCCATGACATCTGTATAGATCCTGAGCGACTGTGATCCCTTCAGTAGAGTTGCTCCAGGTGTAATTATGCTAGTGTAATAAAGAGTTGAGCTTGGCTAAGTGCAGCACATGGAATGTAAACTGGTGGTATGACTCAGCAGAAACAAAATGTAGCAGCAGTCATCAAAATCAGCTCATCAGGAGCAAAGTTTTAAAACTATAAATCAGCACAAGGTAATCAGAACACTGAGAGTCACAGCCACAAGGCCTGACTTACCTAGGGACTCATCCTGTCCTGAGACTGCTTGTGCAATCAATCCTGTGTTCTCACTGGCATTCTCCTTGTAGCCCAAAGCCTTGTGTGAGAGAGCGGAGAGAGAAGTTCTGGGCTGGGGACTAGAGAGTGACTCTGCACCTGTCTTGTGACGGTTGTGTACAATATGTTGCTTTATGCATTTTCCCTTCACAGACTGGTTACAGGGTAATGTGGGATAGAGGTTTCCAAGAAGTCCTATTCCAGTGGGATAATAGGTTCTCTCTGGTCAAGAGGAAATAGGTGCCTGACTCAGAGGAACAGCAGGAGCTAAAAGAGAAAGGGGGTGAAATAGCCAATTCAGAGAAAAGC